GTGCCAGCCAACGTTCTCGTAAGGAAATTAAAGTGGGTAAACCATAGGATCGCTATTCATATTGAGCGTGGAAATATGCCTACAGGAGTTGCCTCTGGGATAGGTGCAAATGTCATTTCCAGCAGGGGTTTCAACATCTTCTCCGACGAAAACCGCCGCAACATTGGTGTGACATGTAGGGACATTGTATCTTCCTGAATCAAGCCCAGATGTTCCTTGACATTCATTCGTGTAGTATAAGATGTTGTTGGATTGGGCTGGGCGATTTCATGCAAGTGCTTATATTATTGAGCGAAGGGGTTCGTGATGATGCTGAGCACGGAATCTAGCTGGATAAGTTCAATTTCGCTGCACGCAGAGTTTGCTTTATCTTGTAAGCGTATTTCGGTTGCTTGAGCTGTGTCCAAAACGTGTGACATGTGTGACATGTCGGGACATTGTATCTTCCTGAATCAAGCCCAGATGTTCCTTGACATTCATTCGTGTAGTATAAGATGTTGTTGGATTGGGCTGGGCGATTTCATGCAAGTGCTTATATTATTGAGCGAAGGGGTTCGTGATGATGCTGAGCACGGAATCTAGCTGGATAAGTTCAATTTCGCTGCACGCAGAGTTTGCTTTATCTTGTAAGCGTATTTCAGTTGCTTGAGCTGTGTCCAAAACGTGGGCCAACGTTAAAACAGAGGGCGCAAGTCTCAACGATCTCAGATTACATCAACACGATCTGCGCATGGAACGATACAAGGGACTGTTTGACGCACTTCAAGCAAAGGCTAAAAATAACAACGCACGTGTAGGCAAAATGCTCATATTAATGTCCACATTACCAGGAAGTCCAACAAAACTATCAGTATATTTGCCATTGCACGTAAAACAAAAATATTAGGATGCCATGGCCATAGTACATACAACAAAACTATAGGATGCCATGGCCATAGTACATACAACAAAACTATAGGATGCCATGGCCATAGTACATACAACAAAACTATAGGATGCCATGGCCATAGTACATACAACAAAACTATAGGATGCCATGGCCATAGTACATACATTCGGAAAGTCCTGATTTATTTATCTCTTTAGCATGCAATCCTACCCCAACTCAACATGTTTTATATTAATAGTACTGAGTGTAAAAAAAGCCTGGTCACCATTGGAGAAACGACGACGACAATCCAGGCTCTCCATGATGTACAAGATAAATAATGGGCTGGTTCACTGTTCCAGTATTAAACAGAAACTCGTCCCTCTCCCCCATAGACAGCGACGAGGCCATGACAGGCAATTCAGGCTCATACCAGCAAGAAGCCAGTATAGGAGCTGCTCATTCCTGCCCAAGACAATCAGGGACTGGAACCATCTTTCAAAAGGAACAGTTGAGGCGACAACACTAGACACATTTGTGTCTATTGCCTCAAGCCTTCAAACCCCTAGTGCATAATTTCCTCATCACCACCAGTAACAGAAACATTGCAAATCCCATCTACATGCATAGGAGCCAAAATGATCAATAAATTGATCGTGGGCCCTTAAGATATAGAAGAAGAAGAAGAATCAATAAAGAGCCACCGGTATGGTGTAGGACTGTCTGTAGGACTGTCTGTAGGACTGTCTCTAGGACTATTGTTTAAAGGCTGGCGGGTAGAGAGTAGGACTGTCTGTACGACTATTGTTTCAAGGTCAGCAGGTAGTGTGTAAGGCTATCTACAGGCCTATTTTGGAAAGACCGGCATATATTAGAGATAATGAGAAGTGAACTCTTTTACGCAACACTTGAATCCACCGGGTATTTTCTCTCAAGAGACAGAATCAGCCATCTGCACATCCCCAGACAGAATCAACCACCTGGTGTGACCACAGACAGAATCCCCATCCCTGCAACCACAGACAGAATGAGCTCCAATCATAAATTAAATGATTAAAGTGCATGGCCCTGACCGAATCAAAACACCTCAAGGAATCGTCTCTCACTCTCTTACACAACCAGTTGTCGGCCTTGCCCGCCCAAAGTCTTTCTATAACAGTGCTTTCTTCCAAACTGGTTCTCGGCTGCCTTATACATCAGGACTTCTGTCAGACCTCACGGTGTAGCGGTTGTTATACTTTATACCATTGTAGTTACCATCCTGCTATGGGTGCATCTTATACAGGCACCATACATGGACGACAGTGCATTAATGATTTATAGACATGTATGTTAGCCCATGTTTCTCCCACTGCTTCTGAATGGAAGACGGTGTACGGGCTACTAGTTAAACCCCACTATGTGATTTCTTTAATAATTAAACATTGTTATAAAATATCATTTTATTTGTCATTTTTATAACGGGTACTTTATGGTCATCAACTACACTTTTATATATCGTTTCCCTTAATTTGTAGCATCAAGAAATTTTCTCAGTTTTTTTTGTTTGTTTTTGTTTGTTTGTTGTTTTGTGTTGTGTTGTTTTTTGTTTTTTTTTTGGGAGGGGGGGGGGTGGATGGGGTGGCCCACATTGAGAAACACTAATCTAGTTGTAAGAAGTTTCAACTTTCAGAATTCTTAATCTAAAAATTAAGATAGAAATAGTAATGTATATATCTTCTTTTGGGTGCCTGGGTGAACTAACGATCAAACAAAAATTGTATTTCATTCATGTGTCAGTGAACAAAATTGAATTATGAACTTTTAAGGTTTGACTTAATAATTTCAGGGATTGCAATCAGTTAGTCATTTTTATTTTGCATCTGAGCTCCAATATGTAAAACTTTACGCTCTTTCTCACTTAGTTTCATCTAAAACAAACGTTGGTGATTTAAGAATTTGCTGTTCAGTGATGGGTTTAAAGGCTTTATCGTATCAAGCATGATAAAATACCATCCAGCTTAAATAGTCCAAACAAAAAAAGCATGTTTTAGGGCAGGGATCTCAAACTCGCGGCGCGGGCCATTTGCGGCCCGCAAGACGATATTTTGCGGCCCGTTACAATACAGCAAAGTTTAGTGTTAATGCGGCCCGAGAGTTACCCCCATTCTCATACCCACTGCGACGGTTTCAGTCGTATCTTACCAACTAGTCTAATTCTGATTTTTATTATGTTTGTTGATTATAATGGTAAAAACCGTTTTAAAATCGGACTAAAAGTTGTTCCTGTACTAAATGATTCCAAATGGCTCATGGACTTGGCATTTTTTGTAACAGTACACAGGAGCTGAATGTGCTCAACAAGATTTACAAGACCAGGGGTGGCGTGTCAGTGTTGTCTATGACAATGTCAGAGCATTGTGCAAAAAAACTTGTGTTATGGTTCTTGGACTCTGGCACACCATTCAGTAATAAGTATACTGATGCCATTGCAAAGTTACAGGAAGAATTTGACCACATGTTTGCAGACTTCAAAACACAAAGAACCACTATTCAACTTTTTGCTGATCCCATCTCCTTTAATGTGGAAGATGCCCCCCACCCCCACCCCCCAACCCCCAAACTTTTTTTTGTTCCTTTCTTCTTTTCTTTGAGCTTTGATTGACTTTTAGTGCTATTCTATTGCTATTCTAATGCTATTAGTTCGGGGAGGTCTATGAAAAAAAAAACAGACAAGCATGGACAATTTATTCCCCTCCAGGCTGTTCAAGCGGATCGTGTGCCTTTTTTGGGAGTATACCTATTAACAAGTCAAAGTCCAGGGTAGAACTTACTGATGAGCATCTTCAAGCTATACTGAGGGTCTCAGTTGCTTCCTCACTCAAGCAAAATGTTGCTCAGCTGTGTAAGAAGAAGCGTTGCCAGGTCACTGGCATCAAGGAGTAGGAGTAAGAAAGTGAAGGTTAGTTCTTGAGAACCCTTAATGTTTTTGTTTGTTATTAATAAAGTTTTGAGAAGATTGCAACAGTTTTACTTTATTGAATTGTAATCGCTTTTTTGTGAAATACTTGATGCGCCCCCAGTCTCACTCAGACTCTACCTCATGCGGCCCCCGGATGATTTGAGTTTGAGACCCCTGTTTTAGGGTTTGCATTTAAATTAATTTTTCTACATTTTATTGCATGAAGTTAAAAGGGTTTTAATCTTATTTTGTACAATGCATCTTTCATTACTTTGATTAATTGTATTTGCTAATTCACAAAAATAATTTAAAAATCAATAAAATTTCAAGATACTCTGATACTGCCCCCCCCCCCAAACCACATACACACACAAAACACACAAACAAAGTTTTAAAATTTCTAACGCAGGAGCGTAGCTGATAGGGCCGTTCTAACATTAGGCAAGATTAGGTGCCGCGTAAGGCTGATTTTAAATCAAGCAGGAACAAAGTTGAGCAAATTAGAACGGGAAAATGAAATGGAGGAATAACAATTTAAATTTACTGTTTAATGTTGAATGCAAGTTCTTTTATGTCTATTGCATCAATTCTTCTACCCTGGATGACCCGGGGGGGGGGGGGTAGTTAAAAGGAGGGGCTGCTTTTCTTAAAATTTTATTATTTTCGCCTAGTGTGGAAAAACACTATTAAACACCCTCAACTCCGTAATCCATTAGCTTCATCAATAAAACACCATAATATTTTATTTTGAATTTAAATAAAGCAGGAAAAAAGTTTAGAAAATTAGAAAGGGAAAATGAAATGGAGGAATAACAATTTAAATTTACTGTTTAATGTTGAATGCAAGTTCTTTTATGTCTATTGCATCAATTCTTCTACCCTGGATGACCCGGGGGGGGGGGGTAGTTAAAAGGAGGGGCTGCTTTTCTTAAAATTTTATTATTATCGCCTAGTGTGGAAAAACACTATTAAACACCCTCAACTCCGTAATCCATTAGCTTCATCAATAAAACACCATCATATTTTATTTTGACGCCCACACAAGTATGAAATTCATGGCATTCATGGCCCTCTGGAATATCGTCTATTGTACCCGGCCGTACCCTAGTCCTACATGTATCTCGTAACTTTAATAAAACATATTTCAAAAAGCGGGTAACTAGATTAGGTTTTTTTTTTTTTTTTTTTTTTGTCGGGAGATAAATAACAGGTTAAGAAATATAACTTTTTGAGTTGTACTTGAAGGCGACCAAAGTTATCAAATTGTGTAAATAGTCTACGGTGGTGGTTGATCCAAATTGCAAAAGACATAAAGACATGGCAAAACTATATTACTTTAACGGCCGCGGTTTAGGTGAGATGGTAAGATTAACACTGGCTGCAGGAGGCATACAAGTAAGCATTTGTTAATAGTGAATGATTGTTTGTACCGATTGGTCATTGGTTGGTCGGGCCAACTCCCCTCTTATTCGAACAAAAAGATGGTATTTAAATTTAAAAAATAATTTTAATGAATTTCCATAAGGTAAAAATGTGTTTTTGTACCAAGTTTTTAATTTCTTTCACAAGAAATAATTAATCGCGCTATAACAAATAAATAACCACCACCCACCCTCTACATTTTCTATTTTTAGTTAAATAATGGACTACACATACAGACCTACTACAACCCGCCAACGTGAGTCATGGCCAAACCCCACCCCCCACTCCACCCCCACCACACACCGCTCTTTGGGCCAAAAAAAAATGGAAAAAAAAGAATATTTGGAATTTTTGTTTAGGATACATTTTTAGTATATTTATTTTAATAAGTTTGTCAGAAACATAGCTAATTTAACAAATCAGAATTATTATTATGTAGGCCTACAGTCCTAACCCTAACAATGAATCAGAATTATTATTATGTACAGCATCTTTTCACAATTCACTTGAAGTTTTTTTCCTCAAAATTAAGGGATATTTTGATGAAATCCCACAACATATTTGGTTTTCGATTATAATTATATATTTAAATTTTCTTAAACAATTTGAGGTGCTTGGAGAAGATGTATTTTGGGGTTTAGTCATAGAGTGATGGGCCAGGCATGTTGGGGAGGTGAAGATATTCTAAGTTTAAGGCCTGGAATTTTTTAAGGGAAACTTAGATGTAGGGTAGGGATAGTGTGGGAGAGAGTAGAGTGTATTGTTAAGTGGGATGTGGATGTGAAGGGTGGATTAGATGTTACATGAGGTTGATGAATATTGGGGAGGTTTAAAAATGACAAGAATCTCTATGGGTGTTGTGGAAATAATGGTAGAGGGTGGAATTGCATAATTACAAAGTTTTCATCACTAGAAAACACTTAACATTAGGAAAAAATTCTGAGGAAATATGTAAATTATTTAAATACAGCATGATGCACACAAAAAAGATATCATTATACTGAAATATTGCAAAATAAACACAATATTGTTCATATTCATCATTGCCAATCATGATAGACTTCCTTGCCCTGATCACTCATTCATTAAAATGCTAAAACACGTCTGAGAGAGCTGCATGGGCTGCCAGTCCGCGCTCGCATAGAGTACAAAATTGCAACTTTGTGCTACCGCTGCTTGCATGACCTGATACTGTCCTATCTCAAAGCGCTCATGGCGCCATATCACTCCATTCATCCGATAAAGGCAAACTTTGGATACCGCAAGTCTGCCTTGAGACCTACAAAAGACGCACTTTTGCTTTTGCTGGCCCAAGAATCTGGATCGGCCTTCCTGTCGCTATCAGAAACAGCCGGACACTGCAGTCTTTCAAAACTGAGTTGAAAACACATCTTTTTCGCACTGACCTGCTGGAGTGATGTAGTCTACCTCCTTGTTTCCAAAGAGCTTGCTCATATTCCTCAATGTATATTGGCTTGTATTGTCCATTGGCTTGTATATAGATTTTATTGCGCTTCGAGCCTTAATTAGGGATGAAGCGTGTTTTTGAAATGAACTTTATTATCATTATTTATTATTATTGCACTTATGCAATGGTCACAGCTAAAAAAATTTAAGCATTGCATCAAATAAACAATATAGAGAAAAAAAATTATTGCTAGTATTTTATTCTGTTAAAATCATGAATATTAATTTAGCAGAATCCTCTGTAATTTTTTAACCCCCTTGAAACATTTCTACTAAAAAAAGGACTGTACCTGTCCTACAACAGACTAGAGATTGGGCAACACTGTCTAAGATATGTTAGGTCTAAATATGTTCTTATTTGAACATTCATCTTCATATTTTGTGTTTGTGTCTTAATTGCAGGATTTATTATTAAAGTATGATTACTATGAATATTAATTTCTTTAAAATTCAAAGAATGGATATATTTTAACAACTGCAATCTCTGCAAACTTTAAATAACAAATAAAAACTTTTAACTTGGTCTTTGTTAGTTAAAGATCTCACCTTATTGTTAGCTATAAAAAAATTTGACTCAGCATTTCTTAGTTCTCTGGCTCTGACAGTAAAAACATTTGTTCTGATGTTTTGTATTTATATATTGAATTCATGTCTGGAAATTAATTCATGATTATTATATAAAAGAGCCTTTCCATGTATAACAAATAAAACGTGAATAGCATTATTCAAATATTAAATTTTTTTGTAACATGAATAGTTGAACTGCTGTGTGGCAACTAAGACACATTTCAATCTTTATCACAATCATCAGTTTAATTGATAATTTAACAATCTGTCCTCAATATTTTAGTCAGATATGTTCAGTTTCTCTCACATTATGAATTATCCGTTGCTGTTATGTATTAACATTTATGCAGAGAGCTAAAACTAATATAATTTATTTTAACTTATAATAAAACTCTTCAGTTTACAGAAGAGTTTGTTACTGAACGGGAGCAGTTTCTAAAGTTGATTGAGGGTAAGTATCGAGGTCATTAGACCCAAGCTATTAATTCTCTGATCCATTAACAGCTGTCAAGCTTCACGCAAATGCATACTTGACAAATAGTTGCAGTTCATTAAGCTGTTTTTTGCTTGACCCAATAGATTTTTTTCAAGCTTGCTATTTTATTATCCACATTAAAAAACCTTCAAGAACTTTCTGTTGAAATCTAATTCAATATGTATGCATTTGCTTTAGCTAAGGGTAGTAAGGAGGTAAAGCATTGGCTTCATAAAATTAGTTCTTTTATCAAACTTTTTCTACCTCTTTTTATTTAACTTGGCTTGTAAGTTTATTAGTTCTGGTTGGATTTCTATGAGTCCCTATTTCTTTAAGTTCCTGACTTACCAGAGAGGTGAAGTCTTATACACAGCTTAGTCTCTTGGTATACTTTGATGACAATGTATTAAGTGTTCACTACCCTTTTCTGAACATATGATGAAATATTGCTAACATCAAACAAGACAAACAACCTTTGGAACAAACTTGCATTTTCAGAATATGCAAGTTGTGTCTCTTTAAAAGGGTTGTTCAGTCATAAGCTTTCAAAACTATGTGCAATAGAATGCCTTGGGAGAAATGTAGAGATTTTGAGAGCTTCCTGATCAAAGCATTTTATACCAATAAAATACTTTTATTTTCATAAAAAAGGGCTCTAAAAAAAAAAAGACGTTTTTGACTTTAGTTTTAATTTTTATTGTAGATGGCAAGTTACTGTTTAAACAGATGCCTCTTTTGGAGATTGATGGCAAACAGATAGTGCAAAGCAAAGCCATTGTTCGCTATCTTGGCAAAAAAACAGGACTTCAAGGGAAAAATGATGATGAAGCTTTGTTGTAGGTCAAAATTTAAATATTTGAATTTAGAATTTTTGTATTTATTATACTTATCAATATCTATTCAACAAGCTTTTGAACTCATTATAATTTCTGTTGCTGATTAAAAAATCTTCCAAATTAATGAAAATGCATGGATGAAGATAGAATGAACTGTCCAGTTTAACACCATAATGATATTCACTCCATGTCCTATATGTAATTTTTTTCTGTATCATTAATCAGTGGAATTTTCTAAATGTATATTACGCATTATTTGGTCAATTTATGTGCTCGTCTTGAAATCCCATGAAAATTTAATATTTCTTTATTCTCATAAAAAATTATAAGTTTTCACACAAATAAGTTAGTTCACGTTAACTAACTCAGCTGAAATATCAGACTGAATTAAGTTGTTTTTTTCTTTTTGTGGAGGAAAATTAATTACATGCATGTACTATAGGATCTTTATTTATTACTAAGAATTTTTGTTTATACACCTGAAAAATTACAAGCTTATGTTCTGCTGTTCAGGGTTGATCAGTTCTTTGAAGGAGGTCGAGATTTTATGACGCCAGCAATGATGATAGGAATTTCACCAGAAGATGAGGCCCTTGCCACAATCAAGAAAACAGTCCTGCCAAAATATTTACCTATTTTTGAAAAGGTTTGTCTCTATTTGAGCACTACTCTCATTTGTAGAAATAATAATTCTGAGCCACTGGTTGTAGACTTAAAAAATGGAAAGTGAATTAAGAATATCATAGAAAATTATTTTTTTGTGGGGGCTGCTTTAAAAGGCAGGGGCAGAAAGGTTTTTGTTTGATGTGAGAGAAAATAGGTTGGTCTTTGTTTTTTTGTTTGTTTTTTTATTAAAGTGTGTGTATAAATTAGATTATAAACATTTTATAACTGTTTTAGATAACATTTTGATTTATTGGGGGGGGGGTGGGGGGGGGGGGGGGTGCTCATCAAATATTTCCCATATAGAATTAATCTTACCTTTGTTAATGGTTTTTTTATCAAACTTTATTGTAAAATTCCAGAAGTAGGCCCTTATCTGTTTTAGTTGACATCTTTTTTTTACTTTGGAAAATCATATTAACATGCTTTGCAAGGCAATTTTCCTAGAGTGCGCAGGATTAGTCATATCAGACCTTTCTTAACATTAGATGCATCGAAGAGGCTGATGTCTGCATTTGTGTTATCATGTATGGACTACTGCAATGCTCTCATGGTGGGTCTTCCAGCTACGCTCCTGGATAAAATTTAAAGAGCACAGAATAATGCGGCTCGCATTGTTCTTCACAAACACAAATTCGACCATGCTAAAACACTTCTGAGAGAGCTGCACTGGCTGACGGTCCGCGCTCGCATAGAGTACAAAATTGCACCCACTAAAAATGTATTCACTAGAGAGCTCCACTCATCCAATAGTGGCAAAATATCGATACCGTGTGTTCGCCTTGAGACTTACAAAAAGTGCACTTTTGCATTTGCCGGCCCAACAATTTGGAACGCCCTTCCAGTCGCTCTCAGAAACAGCCAGACACTAGAGTCCTTTAAAACCGATTTAAAAACACATCTATTTCTCAAACACCTTCTGGAGTGATGCTATCTACCATCTTTTTCAGTTAATGTATATTGGCCTGTGTTGCTTATGGTTGAAACGGGATGAGAGATTTTTTTATGCTTGTATGTAGTTTTATATGCTCGTATGTAGTTTTATATTGTTGGGTCTGTTTTTTAAATGTTGTAAATTTCAGATTGTTTTTATTTCTCTTTATAATATGGTTGACTTTGTACCGCCCTTCGAGCTTTTGGGGATGAAGCATGTTTTTTTAAATAAACTTTATTATTATCTTATTTTGCCATTTTATATCATTTTAAGTTAATTTTGGAAGAGGGAGCCCCTTTCAAAAACCTTCATTAGACAACTAGTCAAACTTTAAAAAGTTGTTAATCCAAATTTGGTTTGAAAACCCCAGAACCAGGACAGTTTGATATTTTTTACAGTTATGCATATAGATTATATGGTTAATATTGCTTCAAAAGGAGTGGAATAATATAGTTGAAATGTCGCCTTTTTTAAAATCCTTTATATTAACTTCGCTTTTGTTCATGTGTTTCTGGTAGGGTGGCAAAATCTTCGGACAGTTAATTGACCCACTTCCCATCAACCTATCAAGCTCAAAATTGGCACACAGACTGGTTGTTGATAATAATAATAATAAAGTTCACTTAAAAAACACGCTTCATCCCCAAAGGCTCGAAGCGCGGTACAAAGTCAACAAAAAACAAATCTATAATTTACCACATTTAAAACAAACGCAACACTACAAAAACTAATTACAAGCATACAATGTCAAAGTCTTTCAAACCATTTCAACCTTGAGCAACACAGCTAATATGCATTAAATGGAAAATATGGTAGACAATCATCCCAGAAGGTGTTTGCGAAATAAATGATGACAACACATTCTTCCAAATTTTCAGCCCCAACCCCAAAAATAAGGTTTTCCTGTTTTTCAAAGGGAAGATGAAGGAAATATGATGCCGCTGATTTCATGAAATAAAATTCCAGATAACTGCGCTAAATGAGATTCTTTTTTTTGTGTAATTTATAGACTGTGCATATAATGCATAATATTTCCTTTTGTTTTTCTGAAATAGTTGGTGAAATAAATCTGCGCTGTAAAAGCGGATGGGGCATATTAATGAATTAAAAATGCATATATTAAGGGTTTATACAAAAAATCTTTGCTTTTAGGGGTTTTTTAATTTAATAATGAGGGGGATTTATGTCAAGTTTTTCTAGATGCATCAAGTCATTTATGAGCCTATGAAGAACAAATAAACCTACAGACACATTTATATATATAATTTATTCAATAATTTTTTTTTAAGTATTATTTTCTACATAATTGTGGAATGGGTTTAGGGAAAAGGGGAATTAACTTCTTTGTGGTATTGAAATTTAATTTACAGAAGGTCTAGTCTTTTGTGTTTATGTTAATGTTTTATTTTCATTTCTCCTAATTTTTTAAAATTTAAGATTGCTGCAAAGAATGGAACTGGTTACCTAGTAGGCAACAGTTTAACCCTCGCTGACCTTAGTCTGCTTGAGCCCTTGTTGGTTTATGTCGAGTATCTTGGTAAAGGAATTTTCCAGGACTTCCCAGCTTTACAGGTACTTGATTTTTTTTAAAGGCTGGACATATCATAAATCTACAATTCTTCTCCTCTCCTCTTAAAGGCCCAACTCACACATTTGTAGTTAAACAAACACATTAAATCTTTTAAACAAATTATCAACCATTATGTTAACAAATGTCAGGATCTAGATATCCAACCCGAGACAAGTCAGCTACAGACATTAAAACTATCCATGATTTTGAAACAAATCTGAGGACTATGTTCGAATAAAAAGCCAAGACTCTGTTCAAAAGGCCAAAATACACTTAAAAGCCACACATCTCAAAGTTAACTCACGCAATCAATGAATGTCTTGCTACATACCAGTTTTAGGGAACAACAAAACTCAAAGACTTTCAACACTAAAAATGTGCAAAAAGTAATTAAAACAAATTTCCATTTATTTGTATCAATAAATGCATATTATTTTATTTTTAAAATGGAGAAACTGGATGTTTCATGACTTTTACGGCAATTTAAATTTTAAAGTGAGGGGTTTAAACTTTATCATTTTTTTTTTTTTTTTTTTTTTTTTTATTTTTATTTAATGTTTTTTTTTTTTTTTTTATTTTTTTTTTTTGAATTGACATAAATGTTTTCTTTTTTTTCCAGAAATTTTTTGACACTACTACAGGTCTGCCCCGAATTTCAGAATATTTGAATGGACCTATCCGAAAGCCTAAAAATAGTCCAGAAATTGTTGATGTAGTTAAAAAAGTTCTTGCATGGAGCTAATGTTTTCAAAGCATTAAATACTTTGAGAAACAATATATTTCTTTCAATTAAAAAATTCAATGGTTTTATTTATAGTCTCTGCATATACACCATTATCACCACACTGAGTGGGAATATTAACATTCATCAACCTTAAAGTTAAAAGCTACTGTTTTAACAACTGGCTTCCACAAAAATCTGCCAAGTTTCAACTCTTAAAAAAAAAAAAAGATTTTATGACTTTAAATTTCAACCAAAGTGTCAGGAAAGTTTATCAGTAGGAGAGTTAGAATAAAAGGGTGAGTTTTATACTTAAACTTTTGAGCTTTAAATCTGTTGAAGAAATGACAGTGTAACATTTTAGCTCTAAACTGCTGTAAAAGTTTAAAGTTAGTACATAAATGTTAATTGATGTTTTTTATTAGAAAGTCGTGGACATTTATTTTTGTCTCAATGAACAAGTTTTCAAAATCTTTTCAATAATTTTTATGAAGATCTTCATTAAAGGTTTTAAATTCTTGATGTTTTTGTTATGGAATTGTTGGCACAAAAAGATATTTTGCAAAGTCATTTTTTAAAATGTGTATTCAAGTTTTCAAGCGTTTGGTCTTTAAAATTGAAAAAAAAAAATTAAATATATAATAGGGGAAAAGATTAGTCTCTTAAGTGTATGAAATGTTACCCTTAATAACATTTTTTATTTTTTGTTCAGTCATGTCCAATATTTTTCCATGCAATGCAAAAATATTGTTTTTTTTCATCACTTTATAACCTGCCATTATCCTTCTTATATGTGTCAATTAATGAAATGATCACTTCAAATAAAAGTTATTAAAATATTATTAACTGTAAACATTTTAAGATAAAAACATTGTTGTTTTTTTTTTTTTCATTTTCCATGGTGATTTTTTATTGTGCAAGGTGTCCTTAAAGTCTAGATACCTATATTCAACAAAAAATTTCTTCTTTATTGAGTCATGATATGATTTTCACTAGTTGTGTTGTAAAGTTCCATCTGCTTTGCAAGTTGCATATAAATGATCAGGATGCAGTAACTCAACAACTCATTCTACTTGAGCACATTGTTTCATGATGCGATACTTTTAGTTGTTTATCTTTGCATTGAAATAGCATCTAGCAATCTCATAATTAATACAAATAAAATGTGTGCAATACTTGTTTAGAAAGGGGATATAGAAGTCCTTAAATTATAGAGCAAGGATCCTCAAACTTTTTCATCAGTGGGCCGATTTGCTGTAAACTCAGACACTGTTGGGGCCAGACAATAGTTTTTTTTAAAATATGAACGAATCTGTAGTGCAAAAACAGAAGAAAAATACAATGTAATTTAATATTTAAGACAAAGAACAATTTTAATCAACATAAACTTATCAGTATTTCAATGTGAAGAATGCGACTGCTTTTGGCTGAAATAGATTATTAATGTCTGGTTCCATATTTTGGCACATCCATCCGGTTTCCCATACAGCAGCCAGGCGGGCCTGGTTATGGAACCCTGGCGGCCAAACTGGCCATGAGCCATGGCTTGAGGACTCTTGTTATCGAGTTTTAAGAGCAGTTCGAAGTGATTGTTCACTGAAGATATGCCACATCTTGATCTTGTAATTACTTTTATTTCAAATTATGCAGCTTTTTAAATATGCTTCTCTGAAGATGAGAAAAAAACAAAAAAGGTTTCTAAGCTATGTGTGTCAGCATGCTATACAAGATCTTACAATGGTTTTATCTGATGCATTTCATAAATGGCCATAATACTAATTTCTATAGACATTTTAAAATTAGAGGTTAGCTTTTTAACAAAATTTTACAACTTAAAATTAGGAAGAGGTTTTCCAGTAACTGAGACCACGAGAAAACATAGTGTGTTGATGTCAAAAGTAAATATGTTAAAGCAAGATTAGGGAACATGTTAAGGAAAAGCGGTCCTTGATCTGTCAATTTCAGACCTGTTTACCCTTAAACTCTTAAAATCGTACAATATCTTCACAAAATCATTCAATACATTGTCTTAATAGTGAAAAATAAACATACAGTATATATAATGCATACACCTGAAAATCGTACATTGTACGCAAAAATCGTAAGAGTAAACAGGTCTGCAATTTTACCTTTTATTGGCCATCCAGAAGTACATCACACTAGATTTAGATATTTTTACCCACCCCCTTACCCTTCATTGTCTACATTTTGTGCCCCCCTCCCCTTATACATGTGACATCATTTATGAAATGCCCTGACTATTGCATCTTTGCCAAATGTAAGATACTAATTTTACCCACATGTTAACAATAATTTACATGATTTTAGAGATATTTTTACAACTTGATTCTAGATATAAAAAAGTTTGTAGATTCCATAATAGAAAAGGAAATATAATTATGTATCTATGAAATAATTTTTATTTGTGACAATTGACAAAAGAATAAAGCTCATTCTTTAAACTATTTATGAAATATAAAATAATGGGTGACAATCGTTGATTAAATACAACACCTTACGACTAACAGCCTAAAAATTGAGATATGAAATTTACTGCTTTTTTAAAAAATGTAATTTATTGACGACACATATAAATGATGGGTTAACGCTGAGGGCTTCAAGACTCCCTTTCGTCTGTCACACTTACAAGTAAATGGACTTGACAGAAATTAAAGTATCATTCACAAACAAATATTCAAAAAAACAAAAATCTGATTGTGTAAAAGTTTAATCGTTTTGTTTTAAAACACACAGGGTTAAAATGCAGCTTTAAAATTATATGGACAAGCTTAAAATTTTTAAATATAATATACTTCATTTGTTCACAGTAGTATCTCAGTTAATACTTTATGCCAAAAAAAGGCAAAGATTTCAAGTTTTAAAACTAAAATAAAACAACTCAACATTTTATTAAAACTAATTCTAACTCTACAACCTCACACATAACACACATTGCTAAAAGTTGTAAAATATTTCTATAATTTAAATGTTCACTGTTTAAAAATAAAATCTCACTAATTCTTTGAAATAAAAATATTTAATCTATAAATAATCAGGGTCATGAGATCTCCCATGAACATTATGACAGCCAGGTGCAAATACCCAGTCTGTGTATTGCCATAAAATATTACACTTCCAGTCAGCCTTTCACAAAAACTGACTAATTTCTTTATATGTGGCTTGGAAAAAGGACAAATGCCAGGGGAGAAACCCATGCCTCTGATTGTCTGTCAAAACACTTTTTATTGTTAGTTTTAGAAAACCAGGTGATTAAGGAGAGAGGAAAAAATATTTATAGCATATATGAAAGTAACAGTCATTTGTATCATGGTGACCCATTCTTCATTGACTTTTTTTCTGAATGTACCAACCAGTCAGAAAACAGTGAAAGTATCCTTGACATTTGTTATTATGAATTGAATACAATATTTTGAGTATCTACCAAGAGATCTCATAACTGGCACATAGGACTCAAGTTTTATCACTCAACACTTATCTATCAAATACAAACAATGAGCTCACATTAGTGTTTTTATTTATGGCTCAAGCTCATACTTATCCAAACCTAATCTTATAATTATTTCTATCTCAATTTGAGAGATGCTGGTTACAAAGTATAATGTAGTGGGGTGAAGCTATATAAAACATAAAGCAATAAAAATTTGGGCTGTACTGTAAAGACTTTTTAGTAAGAAAAATATAGATAGATACTGTTATAGCAAAATAATAAATTTTTTAATGAAAATATTTTCTTAACCTTACCTTTTACTTTTAAATTATTCGATGTAAAATATACAACCAATAAATGTATACATTTTAAAACAAATAAAATTAATTATGAAAACTGAAATTTTTTTTTATACATAACCTTACAAGAAATATCATACTGTATAACGAGCTTGTATATAATCTTGTTGAAATTGTCATACTGTATAACTAGTTTGGATGTAGAAAAATGAGTGTCCAAAATGCACAAATAATATTGTAAATCATTAAAAACTTTTTTTGTGGGTTCTTATGAAATAAATGATTTTTCTAGCAGCTACTAAAAAGTGTTGACCTTGAACAAAAAGGATAGAAATAAAAAAAGGTATACCATAAAAATTATATAGCAATAATTCTGGCAAAAGCAGATTGACAATGGAAGGATTCAAAAAATAATAGCAAATAAAAGAATTATAAGAGATAAATCTTTGATGTTGAAGGAAATATTTTAAAAAACTTAATTGAAAGTATATATAATATATGAGTGCATTTTATATATAACACATGAATCATTTATATATCAGCTTTGCAAATATATATATAGACCGGTATATGTTTCCATACCTCTTACCACCTTTTTGCACCTTGTAATTTTTGGGTGCCAATAAGCTGGGTATTAAAAATAATTTTTTTCTAGTAAACAATTTGCTTGAGCTCAGAAACAAATTAATTCAGCATAACTTATTTGTTGCACTTTTCTAAAAAAAATAAATTATTTTTTAAACAGAAGTCATGATGAATTTTATGTCAACCGTGATAAATTGGTCAAATTTGACATTTGTTTTTTAATTCAAAACATAAATTGAACATTTAGATCTATTCAAGTTCATTATAAAAATGCAACTTTTCTTGTTTAAAAAATGTTCATTAATTATTATTGACAGTAAACAACACTAATGTTGAACAAGTGTAAATTAAATCTAACATCAAAATGAAACTGATTCTCATTTTCACTTTGAGATGGAAAAAAACATGAAAATTACACCTGAGCAAGGCATGGGGTACGACTTATTATTAAAACAATCATGAGGTCTGTGACGGCATTGAAATGCTGTGTGCCTCTCAACCAAAAGATAGCAGGTTTGAATTTGTCCCCCATGCACACCTGTAATCTTTATCCAACACCACTACCTTCCCCAGAGTATATAAGGATTACATGTATGACAGGTTAATAAACAATAAAATTATGCAAATATCTTGGTATCAACATCACAATTATCTTTAACAGTAAAAAAAATAACATGATTTGCGGAAAACATTGTAGCAGTTTATAATAAAGTATGATAAAAATAAAAAATTAAATTTACACCTTGTGGCATTAAAAAAATTGCAAAAATATCGCGGGGTTGGGGGGGGGATAAAGATGAATATTCAGCATTTATTTTGTTTAAAAATGTATCTTTGACGCATAATTTCAACACTAGGGGAAAACTGAATTTCCTATTATATTAATTATAAGGTAGATAATGATCAATAGAGCAGTTGAATGAGTTCCTGGGTATGAATTGCAGTGGGCAATTTTTGTATACACCAAGAGACAGCTCATCTTCAACTGCTTAATTATTTACATCAGTGTGTTTCAAAGTTAAAGTTTTCTTTAAAAAATTATGCAGAACTTACGATATTAGTCAACTATTTTTACAAGTAAGCCACATGAAAAAAAAATCACATCCCAGATTTGTAAGCATTTCTCACAACTTCTTCTAGTAATGAAGATTAATAATCTAGGATTTTAATTGTTACCTGAAATGGTTAGAACAGACTTGTCCCATTCTATTTAATGGAAATTGTGAATTAACTTGAATCAGATTTTTGGACTTTGGATATCCATTCATCATTTCAGTCAATAATTATTACACAATTACTGCCATAATTGCATCATTGACTATGTAACAGCTTATCATTTAAACCTAACATTTTTTTTTTATATCTAAGACATATTAACTTAAAATAATCCTTCAAATTTATTGAAAATATTTTTAAAAATTTAGCTGTAAGATTTTTACATTGATTTTTTAAGTTCCCTTAAATAAAAATTTATTTGACACAATTTTGTCATTTTTTACAATAATTTTGAATCATTTTGCTGGCCCTGATGATCAACGACCTGAGTTAAAAACATTTTAACGCCTGTAAACACCGTAAGATAAACAGCCTTGAACACAATGAAATGTGATGCTATTAAATTGCCATTCACATTAACCAAACTGACGTCTTTGATAATAAATCAACTTTCTTTACAGGAAGACGGTCCTCCTCCTCCTCCATTTTTTCACCAGGATGAATATTTTATTTCTTGTACAATCAACATGATTTACATGTTATTTGTAATTTTTAAGGAAGCAAAAAAAAAACAGGTCTACATTGCTGTAAGCTTCAAAACAGACAAGAATGCGCAGGAATTAGAAAAATGAAGATTACTGAATGCTGCTAGCCTGAAGCTCTTTAAATCAGATCAGAAATAAAAAAATTTTAAATGCCAGAAATGCAGATAATGAAGTTAAATTTCATTTATCAAAAGTAAAGAGGCTACTGGTATATTATTAGCTGAAATAAAAGTTGGGGTATAAAGGTTTTATGTCGATAAACATCCTACTTTCCCTTCAGCAAGATACATTTTGATGAGCATTTTAAAAATACTTTTCCTCACTTGAATTTAACTTGAAAAAATAGATATTCCGACAAAAACTTTTTTTTTTTTTTAACCTTTTTTTTTCAGTTGATTTTTACTAAACGTGGCATTATGAATATGTAGCCTATATTTTTTTTATTTCAGAAAATAAATTTATACTTGAAAACAAGAAGGCACAAAATTTTTGCGTGGGTTTTAAAAATTAAAGTGTGGTTTGTACATGGTGACATAAATTAGGTTTGGTTTAAAAAAATATTTACATTTTAAAAGTTAAATAAAATCTTCTTTGGAGTATAGGGTTTCAACATTTTTAACATAAGCAAATGTTGTCAAGAAATACTTGGAAAAAAAATTTATCAAAGCATACAAAAAAATAATGAACATTTTCACAAACATGATGTACATTGATAATAATTTTAACATCTTAATTTTCACCATCACAAATTTTTTACCACATTCTAAAAAATTGAAAATTTACTTTGCAATCAATAAAATTCTTTTGTTACCTCATTCAAAATAATAACTATGAATGAAAAACATGTAATTATGAAAGTGCTTGACATACAAGTGCAGCAGTACTGTAAGTCACATGGCTTGAAATTTATGATTAGTGGGTCATTGTTCATTGGTAACTGGTTTGATATTATGTCTTTGCATGTACGACAGGAACTGCTGTGGAATCTCTTCTAGAACTTCTTTAGCTAGCCTTTCGTGTACTGTAGCCCAATCTTCTTGACTGCGCCCTAGAAAGTTGCGGATAGGAACAAACTGAAAAGATTTGAAAAAAATATGAGCTAATAGTGTTTACATGTCTTAACTGTATCATTACATAATCATTGACAATACTATATCATTCCATTACTAAATCATTATATTAATGTATCATTACATTACTGTATCATTACATCACTATCATTACAAAATTACAGTATCTTTACAGTACCCTATCCTTACATTACTATATCATTACATTACCATGTCATTACATAGCTGTATCATTAAAGCCATTCAAACATTTATGTTTAAGATATATCAACGAGTCTCATTTTATTAAAAGCCATTCTTACCTGGACAATATCTCTTTCTGCAGTTTTCCCTTTAGATGTCAACCTGACATCATCACCATCTAAAACTTCCATTGCTGAAAGAATGAAGACAAAGTTTGAGTTAACAATTTTATGACTATGCAAACATAAGCTTTCCATTTCCATCACTGACAAAGTTTTTTTGAACTCATTTCTAACTCTATGTTGTTTCTTGTTTTATCTTGTCTGCTGTAGAAGATTTCTACCCCAAACATTCTCCTGTGATTGTCCTGTCTTTTCATATCAAGCCTTCACATACCTTGTTCCACCACTTCCTTCACATACCTTGTTCCACCACTTCCTTCACATACCTTGTTCCACCACTTCCTTCACATACCTTGTTCCACCACTTCCTTCACATACCTTGTTCCACTACTTCCTTCACATACCTTGTTCCACCACTTCCTTCACATACCTTGTTCCACTACTTCCTTCACATACCTTGTTCCACCACTTCCTTCACATACCTTGTTCCACCACTTCCTTCACATACCTTGTTCCACCACTTCCTTCACATACCTTGTTCCACCACTTCCTTCACATACCTTGTTCCACTACTTCCTTCACAGGGCTGGAGCGAAGCCCAACATATATTGTCCTTTATATATTTATTTTATCTTTAATGAGCATTTTAAAAAAAAAACTATATTATTCTTAAAGTAGTTAAAGATATTGAAATTGTGTAAGAAAAGTTTAGTCGTATTTTTCCATGCCAACTCTTTTAACCCAGTAATCTCACTTTTCCATGCGCTGGGTTAAGTTAAAAAATAAAAACTTGTGACTCAAAGAAAATGGTAAGAAACTTAAGATTATTGTGTAAGATGACACTGGTTGCTATGTATAAAATGTTTTTACCTTCAAAGTCATAGCACTGGTTGCTTTGTATAAAATGCTTTACTTTCAAAGTCATAGCACTGGTTGCAATGTATAAAATGTTTTACCTTCAAAGTCATAGCACTGGTTGCTATATATTAAACGGTTAACCTAAGTCAATGCACTGGTTGCTATATATAAAATGTTTTAATTTCAAAGTCATTAACACTGGTTGCTTTGTATAAAATGTTTTACCTTCAAAGTCATAACACTGGTTCCTACATATAAACTGTTTTACTTTCAAAGTCATAACACTGGTTCCTACGTATAAACTGTTTTACTTTCAAAGTCATAGCACTGGTTGCTATGCATAAAATGTTTTACTTTCAAAGTCATTAACACTGGCTGCTATGCATAAAATGTTTTACTTTCAAAGTCATTAACACGGGCTGCCATGTATAAAATGTTTTACCCTCAAAGTCATTAACACTGGCTGCCATGTATAAAATGTTTTACCCTCAAAGTCATTAACACTGGCTGCCATGTATAAAATGTTTTACCCTCAAAGTCATTAACACTGGCTGCCATGTATAAAATGTTTTACCCTCAAAGTCATTAACACTGGCTGCCATGTATAAAATGTTTTACCCTCAAAGTCATTAACACTGGCTGCCATGTATAAAATGTTTTACCCTCAAAGTCATTAACACTGGCTGCCATGTATAAAATGTTTTACTTTCAAAGTCATTAACACTGGCTGCTATGTATAAAATGTTTTACCCTAAAAGTCATTAACACTGGCTGCCATGTATAAAATGTTTTACTTTCAAAGTCATTAACACTGGCTGCTATGCATAAAATGTTTTACTTTCAAAGTCATTAACACTGGCTGCCATGTATAAAATGTTTTACTTTCAAAGTCATTAACACGGGCTGCCATGTATAAAATGTTTTACCCTCAAAGTCATTAACACTGGCTGCCATGTATAAAATGTTTTACCCTCAAAGTCATTAACACTGGCTGCCATGTATAAAATGTTTTACCCTCAAAGTCATTAACACTGGCTGCCATGTATAAAATGTTTTACTTTCAAAGTCATTAACACTGGCTGCCATGTATAAAATGTTTTACCTTCAAAGTCAGCATCTCCTACACCAATGATGATTATTGACATTGGAAGACTTGCTGCCTGAGAAAATGATAGTTGGATGTTTAATGCATTGATCTTTAAAAGGATAACTGGGTGAATGGTCTAGATCAGAGCTTCATGTGCCATTAGAAGATGCTAGTTGTGTCGTGGCATGATGGCTCAAGAGCAGGAAAAACAAATGTTTCATTGTGGGGAACATAAGATAAAAGTGTGTTGATAAAAATAGGGGCGGCGATGAGATTATTACCAAGCTGTCTAAATATTGCAGTTGTGTCTCAGAATGGGTGCACATTTAATTTGTCGATTGGCATGATACCAAGTAAACAATCAAAGGAAAATCAATATATTGAGCAACAGTCTATAAGTAAAAATTCCTGCATGCTCTTAATAGTTTGAGAAGCAATGCCCTAGATATAGGTTTTTATAAATGCAAATTTTGCAATTAATCCATTAATAATTTATTTTTTTTCAAATTTGTTGTCCTCCAAGTAAAATCCAACTGAAAACTGCAAAAATACCGAACACCATCTCACAACATAACTATATACTGGATCATTAATTAACTATACACTGGATCATTAACTATACACTTGATCATTATCTAAACATTGGCTTTTAACAAAAATAAATTAAATTTTCAGCTGAAATTTAAACTAGAGCTTTTGCATTTAGTGTTGCCTACAAAATTAACCCCCAGGCCTAGCAAAAGAAGCTGGAATAAAAATAATTGTTCATCTCCAAGCAAGTTTGTTTGTATGCTCCTGATTGAAAATCCTGACAAAGGCCCTTTCCAATAAGAACAACAGATGCACCAATCTTTGAAGCCCATTTTGAAGAATGTCATCTTTCAAAACATTCAGCCATTCAATCTAAGACTTTTTTTTTAAACCCCCATAACAAATACAAAGTTAGTTGAAGTATTTTTAAAAAAGACACATCTTACATTAACAATGGCCTCCTTTGTCTGGGGCATGTCTGTAATTATTCCATCCGTAATTATCAGAAGAATGAAGTAGTTCCTGCCATCTTGACCAGCTGCTGCAAATCTGTCAAACCAAATAAACCAACCTTTTCCACTTAATTTTTTGCTTTGTTAAATGTGCAAATCTAGAAAATACCAATTTTATCTTTTTTCAATGCACATGTTTTTTGTGTCTATATTTCTATATGTTAAATAAGGTTTCTTAAATAAGATCTTCCCAGGGTTAAGAAATTGAGCCATAGCTCTGAGTAATCTTTTTGAGCTGGACCGGAGCTAGACGTTTTCTTTTATACATGCTTCTAAAGCTCAAGCAGATTTTGAACTTCATGGGGAAGAAGTGGCAACCAAATTATATCATAAGAATTTTAATTTAATATTATTTTCTGATTTCCAGGGATTTTTTCAATGACAAAGAAAACAAAGGGAGCAGAAATGATTGGGATTTAAGAATGAGAACGAAGAGAACATTTAAATCTTGAGAAACTATAATGGTGTGATACTGAGAGTATTTTTCATTTTAAAGAAACAGTATGATATACATGAAAGTCTAATGAAAGCATTGGGAATGTTTTTTACAAGTCTATGAGACAAAGGAGAGAGCAGCTACAGTTGTGAAACAGATGTGAGTTTTCCAGAATCAAGAATACTTGTGTAGACCAACGAAATTTTCCCTTCAGTACTCTCCATATTGCTTAATAAATTACAGTGATCGTTTTTACAACTTGAGATACGGCTGTCTTATCTTTGAGAAAAGTGTCGTCTTATCTTTGAGAAAAGTGCAGTCTAATCTTTGAGATACAGCTGTCTAATCTTTGAGATCCGGCTGTCTTATCTTTGAGAAAAGTGTCGTCTTATCTTTGAGAAAAGTGCTGTCTAATCTTTGAGATACAGCTGTCTAATCTTTGAGATACGGCTGTCTAATCTTTGAGATACAGCTGTCTAATCTTTGAGATACAGCTGTCTAATCTTTGAGATACAGCTGTCTAATCTTTGAGATACAGCTGTCTAATCTTTGAGATACAGCTGTCTAATCTTTGAGATACAGCTGTCTAATCTTTGAGATACAGCTGTCTAATCTTTGAGATACAGCTGTCTAATCTTTGAGATACAGCTGTCTAATCTTTGAGATACAGCTGTCTAATCTTTGAGATACAGCTGTCTAATCTTTGAGATACAGCTGTCTAATCTTTGAGATACAGCTGTCTAATCTTTGAGATACAGCTGTCTAATCTTTGAGATACAGCTGTCTAATCTTTGAGATACAGCTGTCTAATCTTTGAGATACAGCTGTCTAATCTTTGAGATACAGCTGTCTAATCTTTGAGATACAGCTGTCTAATCTTTGAGATACAGCTGTCTAATCTTTGAGATACAGCTGTCTAATCTTTGAGATACAGCTGTCTAATCTTTGAGATACAGCTGTCTAATCTTTGAGATACAGCTGTCTAATCTTTGAGATACAGCTGTCTAATCTTTGAGATACAGCTGTCTAATCTTTGAGATACAGCTGTCTAATCTTTGAGATACAGCTGTCTAATCTTTGAGATACAGCTGTCTAATCTTTGAGATACAGCTGTCTAATCTTTGAGATACAGCTGTCTAATCTTTGAGATACAGCTGTCTAATCTTTGAGATACAGCTGTCTAATCTTTGAGATACAGCTGTCTAATCTTTGAGATACAGCTGTCTAATCTTTGAGATACAGCTGTCTAATCTTTGAGATACAGCTGTCTAATCTTTGAGATACAGCTGTCTAATCTTTGAGATACAGCTGTCTAATCTTTGAGATACAGCTGTCTAATCTTTGAGATACAGCTGTCTAATCTTTGAGATACAGCTGTCTAATCTTTGAGATACAGCTGTCTAATCTTTGAGATACAGCTGTCTAATCTTTGAGATACAGCTGTCTAATCTTTGAGATACAGCTGTCTAATCTTTGAGATACAGCTGTCTAATCTTTGAGATACAGCTGTCTAATCTTTGAGATACAGCTGTCTAATCTTTGAGATACGGCTGTCTAATCTTTGAGATACGGCTGTCTAATCTTTGAGATACGGCTGTCTAATCTTTGAGATACGGCTGTCTAATCTTTGAGATACGAGCTCAAGATAGTTCTTGGACTATTTCAGGATCATGGTGATTGTTCATGAAGTAAAGGGAACTTAGTGATGGTTGAAAGCTCAGTTCTACACGTCTGTTTGTTCAGATTACAGATTTAGGGGGATCCACTTTACATTGTATTTCAAACCGGTTGTAAAAACTTGCATTAGGAAACTTAATCCTCTAGTGGTCGGCAAATTCATTAGTCAAAAGAGCGAAAAATCAGCAGCGGGAGGATTACAATGTTTTTGAGAGACAAGTTTCTTGTCAAGAACCATATTTTTTGGAGTCAAAACCGATTTGTGGCTAATTGGCTGAGCCGCACTCAGGTCACTAAAGAGCTGCATGCGGCTCGCAAGCTGCGATTTGCCAAACACTGCTATAGTTAGATTCATTTTGCTGTAAATTGAGTCATAAAGGGTTCAACTAAACAAAAAGAGTTTACTCTATTATAAACTAGTGCCGCTGTGACTCAACCTTGAGATGGGGGTCACCGGGGTTTATTTCTTACATGGTGACAGGGGGGTCTCCATAGCTCATTAAATATTCAGAGGTGGGAGAGGTTGCATGCCTAAGCACTGGTGGTCTTACAGTCAGGTGCACACCAGCATTAAAATAGCATCTTTTAATACTGGGACAATTAGAAAGTTTACCTGGCCACATGGTTAATACAGGGAGCAAAGTTGGTGGGCCCATAAAGTTGCACAGAGTAGAGTGTCCTGTGATAGGCTTCTATTACTCCTTGGATTCCTGGGCAGTATGGATTTGCAGAATTGCCATTCTGAAATTTGAACACAAAAGAGCCAAGATTGAGACTATGAAATGCTCATGGTGTAATAACACAATAGTGCATCCAAAGAAAGCAAAGAAATAGCTGATAGTATAGTCCCTCTGTGAATCTCAATTTCAAAGTCATTAAAATTGTTAGTTTTAGTAAACCATACCATTACAATAAGTGCTGACATTATTCTGCTAAAAACGTTAATTTTAAAAATTATAGTCATGCACAATAATAATTTGCTTTTTCAACAAGCTAAATTGCCCTGATAATAGACCAAAAAAAATATTTAAATTATTCAAATATCCCTTTGAACAATTCTTAAAATGGGATTAAATTTTTTAAAGGTCCCTTTTCAAATTTATATATTTAAATCTTATGACAGCAATTTTATGATAAAGCATGTTTTTACCAAGGCAAATTCATGTGAAACCATTCCATCAGGTGGTAGCCTTGCTCCAAAGCCAAGAGCTGGAAACATTTTCGCACTGAGAAATATATAAATATATAAATTTTACAAAAATTTAAGGTATAATAGAATATTTTGCCTTAAAGAAGTGTGCCTCAGTTGTTTTTTGTGATGTATGGTTAATGAATAAGATTATTCTAGGAATTAAAATGTAAAATTTACAACAATGTATAACATTCAAGTGATAAGAGGATCAATGATGTGAGGAAAAATAATCAGAGCAGTCAGATAAAAAAATTTAAAATACTTATAGTTAATTTAAAATATACCACACTCTAAAATGCTTTGCTTTTGTAGATGAAGGGGTGGGGGGTGGGAGGAGGGGAGGAGGAGGAGGACGAGACAGCATATATGATGTGCTAAGGAAAATTTTGAGATTAAAAATGGTAGGAATATAGGAAAATGTGACTTACACCTTTACCTTAGCACGAAAACAAAACTATTTTAAGATAATTAAACTTTCAAAGATACACTTTAATGTAATCCTGTGTACTTACCTGTCATAGTCTTGGATGATATCCCCGACAGCTTTGATTGAGGTGGCATAAGGGTTTGGCCTGTAAGGATTCATATAGTGGAGGGATGTGGGAGATTTGGGGTCTCCGTTGGATGCTGTGAAGTCTATGGCAAATGTGCAGTGAATTTTCATCCTGTCAAAATTATTATTATCATCAAACTAATTTTTTTTACTTATAAGAAATTTTTTAATAGCACATTGTTAATCAAAGATGAGCACTGTAAACAAGTCATTATTCAGTTTAAAAAAAACTCACCTTCCTTTTTTTTGTTTTAAAAACACATCCTCAAATTCAATCAATTCAACATGCATTTTAACAGCTAACCATCATAATATTAAATTGCATATAACTCACCCTCCTTTATTTATGTAATCTAGAAATGTGTACACTGTTTCAACTCTAAAAGACAAAAGTTTTCCCTGTCAAAAAATTTTTTTTAATGAAATTAGATCATGCAGAGAGTATTATTTTGTTCATTTGTAATTCACAGCTAGACATTAGTTTAGCATGAACATTCTTCATTACCTTAACACTTATATAATACATAATTCGCACAAGGTGTTTATACAATTTACAAATTATAAACAAATAATATTTTTTAAGTTGCTGCACTGACTTTGCATTTTTTTATTTTGCCACAACATCAGTAAAGTTGAGAAACTTTTTGATTTTCTTTACATTTTAAGTATACCAATAAATCTTACATTTTAGAAGCACATTTGTGATTAGAATTTTTTTTTTCAAGAACAAACCAAACAGCAAGGACTTACAGTTCCAGAATTTTTATAACTTTTTCCTTTTTTCTTCTGTTTCTTGGGATTTATGAACTAAAAATAATAAATAATTGAGCTGCATTAATAATTTAGCTACTAAAGTACAAATAATAATTATTGTAGCAGATTCAGTAATATTGCCAAACTAATCAATTCATTTGTGGTTAAAGTTATATATTCATTAAGTTTGAGAGAAATAGGATGACGATATTGTAGCAATTAGAATTTCACTGATCATTCCCTCAAAGACAATGTTAGGAAGACATATTTCTTTGCTCCGTTCCTACATCCAAGTTAAATACTGAACTCTGTCTAAAAGCATAAAAAAGCTCTTACAACTACTGAAAAGAAAATAACAAGGGGAGTGAACCAATATAATATTTTTTCTTTTCAGTGGGGGGATGGCTGGTAATTGCATGTGCGAAGAGAAGAAGAGAGAATGGGTATGCACCCCCAACTCTTTGACAAACATTCACACCTGGATCATACTGGAAACTTTAGTGTCCATTAGAAGACTCATCTAATATGTCTTTTAACAATTGCCTTTTACTGCACTTAATTATTCCTCTAGTTGTGTTTTCCGCTGGTTCCTTAAAATTTAGGCATTGTTGGACTTTGAATGAGTTTCCATGCATTCATACTTATAACGTTTAATTACTGGCAGCCATTCTCGGCACCCTCAGTTTCAAAACTGGTCAGATGTTCTTCACCCATACAGGTATTGGCAGATCGGAAAGACAGGCCTACCTCAAAAACTGTACCATCACCAGGACCATTCGACAGCTCTCGTAATGTAGTAATAAATGAACCAATAAAATCATGTCTGAAATTTAAAATCACCTGTTCATTAACTATTTTATATCTAAGTGATTATTTTGTTGTAGCTTCAAGATCTATCAATGTCAGCGTATTCTTTAACTTACCCATCCAAAAAATGAGATGAGCATTGCCCATAGACAAAGGGTTTAACATCAAATTTAAATTACAATGACGGGACAATTATTAGGATGCTGCCTATAAAAAAATTTTTTTTTACATAAGGTTTTGGTATCTGTTGATAAACTCTTAGATTTTTAAGTCTGCTACACTAACTTATTATTTTTTTTTTAATTGTTGGACAAAGGGGTGCAAACAAGTGGTTTAAACTTTACTTCAGTAGAAGAAAAAAAAATTACATTGTTTGGGATAAAAGCCTTATTCAGTTAACATAATATTTAGAGAATACCTGAAATTACATAAAATACAATATGTCTATGTCAATCTATGTCTATGAGAATTTTTATTTGTGCTAAAAAAAAAGTATGCTAGGTCCAGATCAGATTATTTTCCTAAAAACACATAAACACATATTCGAATCTAAAAATTTTTAGCAGATAAAATTTCCCTTAAAGATTGTTAGCATTTTGAAAAGAGAAAATTGTCCAACTTACCCGCCATCAGCATCCCAGTCATGGCATTCAACTTTAATAGCTCTGTGAAAATGATAAATAGAAAATGAGATGAAGCATATTAAAACTATACATCCAAGCAAATAAAAGCAATAAACTCATAAATAAGATTATCTGATTTCATTTTCGATGCAACCTCTTAATTTGAAACATTTTATAACATAAAAGATTGGAAAAACAAAAAACGTGACTTGTGAGTAAATTCTTCTTCTGTCTGTTAAATATTGTCTTATATTAAAAGTATTTTCAAAGATTGAAATCATATGTGTATTTTATCATGGCCATAAAAATCACTATGCTTAACAGAATGTAAAATATAGCTGTTCATTTTAATTTTTTTAACTGTGTGTCAGAGGCATGGTGGTTATTTGGTCATAAAATATAAGTATTAAAACATAGCTATTAGTTTAATTCATCTGCAAAATGGCCATGTTAACTCCTATTTTGTCATTTTTATAAAAATTCAGTACCCGGTAAGCAGATAAGGGTCTAATGTGAGTAATACTTTTGAAAATGAGGTCAAATATATTTTTTTTTAAAGAAAAGGCCCACTTCTCAAAAGTTAAATGATACTATGATATGAAATAGTTTTATTATTAGTTTAAAAAGAAAATATTTATGTTCAAGTTGTTGAGCACAGATTAGTGTATTACATGCGAGTGTAGAAATGTTGTGAAGATTTGCATGTATTTAGAGACAGCTTAGACTTGATAATATAAAACTTTTGGTCAGGCTATTATAGTCATAGCTCAGACATATGAAAAAGATGTGGGTAAAGCCTAGGTTGGTTGTTATATAATATGAATAATTTTCATGAATAATGCTTATTTAGTTAAAAATAAAAGCAGGGCTGGGAAGTCCTGCACCATTGCATGTGATCGGAATTCCTATACTTTTTTCCACAATGCACTGTATTTGAAATAAATACAGATTTTTTGAGAGGGGTGAGGGGGGTCACACTCTTTTTTTTCACCCCCAAGAACCCCTCTATGTTACAAATAGAGAAACACTGAAAATTAAGATATGTTGCTAGGGATATTCTTTCAAATTAATAAATATCTGCAAATCTACTTCACCTGTCATAATCTCCATTACACAGATCTCTGACTGGGATAGCAAAGGGTCGCCATGTTGGGTTTAAAGTTTTCTTGATAACTTCTGTTCTGTGCACTACTGTGAAGCTAGGGACCGAAAAACATGTAATGTTTATACATCTACGCTACTTTTTTAAAACAGTTATTCTATTTGGCAAGAATCTAATAAGAAATATTTCCTTCCTTTTTTCAAAATTGACACACATAATTAAAATTACAAATTAAACTTAAATTAATAATATAATATACTGAATACTCACTAATATCAAAAACTTATTTATTTGTCTAGATATTATACTAATACCATAATACTATGCAGGAGGTATTTTTGTGTGTCTCAGAATAATATGTATCTGTTTTTATTTCATTTATGTATTTTATTTTAATATTATGATTATGCCTCTTTGCTATATTTATGTACAGCGCGGTGAGCCCAGCCCTAGGCCGGGGTACCGCGCTATATAAGACCACTTATTATTATTATTATCTAAAAGAAAACAACTCTAAATGATGGCAAGGCGACAAAGCCTTTTTAAACTATTTTTCTTCACCCAATCCATTAATCTATAAAACATGTAGGCAACACTTCCAAGCTTATTGAAGCAAACAAATAGCTTTACAGTCACAAACAGCTGGACAAAAGATTCTGTCTCAACTGTGAAGTTAAAGGAGCATGGCAGGTTAGCACACATGGAAAGGGCAAATATGTCAATCAACAGTAGTTTCTTGATAAGCCTTATGACTCTCTAGTCAAAATGTTATGCTTTGTCATGATTGTACCAGCGCATCCACGTGAACCACAGGAACATAAAATTACAACTATGGATGCTTGCTCTCCAGCTGAGCCTACAGCATCTGACTAATTTCTAGAGTAAGCAATGGTCAGTATTAGCATTGGTGTTAAGTTTAATGTGTAACTAAATATATCATAATTTCTTGATAGGTGTCATTAGGGTCTCCTTCCAGAACAAGCTGATGCTCTTTGTTAGATCCAGGCTGTTAAGTTTAGTCAATGTTTCTTGATTATTTCATGGTTATTTGTGGTGGTTTTTTCTGTTGCTTTTTTTTTTTAATTTTTTTTTTTGAAGAGCTTGATTGTTAAATAAATAAAGCTCATAAAAATGTGTTATTTATATGTTGTGATCACCTAAGATGTTGAGTAACGAGGATTACAATTGAGTTATACCACATGAAGTCTGGTACCCTTCAGCCTGAAATGAATGCTAAAGAAGTTTAACAAGCTAATTCATACAGATGTTACATATAGACTAATTTTACATCTTTCTCTGTGATTAATAGATGCTAAAGTTGCAAAGATTACCTGCATCATATTTCAGTTTTTATAAATTAAAAAAAGGCATGAGATATTGAATCTGTATGATGCAAAAGTATAGTAAAAAAAAAAGGGAGTGATTCTTTTTTTAATTGTGAGTAGATCTTGTTTGGATTGAAGAGCAATGCTAGGACATTAAAAACTGCTTGAAGAAAAACAATAGCAAAAAGGCATATGGTGCCAGTTGGTGAAAAAAACTAACCAATGCAAAGCAAGGGGATAGTACTATCATACAGGATAAAAATGGTAAATGTTTGACAGAAGAAAATGATTTCCTAAAAAGATGGACTGAATCCTGCTCAGAGCTGTATAATGAAAATACAAAGATAGACCCAGAGATCCTTAATGTCCCTCCAGCAACAAACAATGTTAACTACCCTATTCTCCACGCAGAAGTAGAAGCAGCAGTCCAAGCACTCCAAATAGGAAAGGCAGCAGGAGTGGATAATATCCCTGCCCAGTTGGTGAAACAAGAAGGAGAAGCAATGATAAGTTCCCTATTCAATATTTGTAACAGAATATGGCTGACAGGGGAATGGCCCAAATCATGGACCCAATCGCTCATCATCACCCTCCCCAAGAAAGGTAACCTACATCTATGCCAAAACTATTGCACCATTAGCCTAATAAGCCATCCAAGCAACGTCATGTTGAAGGTCATATTGAACAGACTAAGACCATATGCCGACAAAATCATTGCTGAAGAACAGATGGGCTTCAGGCAAGGATGTGACACTACTGAGCAGATCCTAAACCTCTGAATACTATGTGAGAACTATGCTCTCAACACCAACAAAACCTGTACCACATCTTTGTGGATTTCAAGAAGGCATTTGACAGAGTTTGGCATGCTGCTTTATGGGCCACCATGAGGCACTACAAAATCAACACAAACCTAATCAGAATGATATGCAGCGTCTATGATAAGGCCACAAGTAGCAATAACATCGGAGAATGGTTCAAGACCAGGGTTGGAGTACGACAAGGCTGCTTGCTGTTCAACATCTTGTTAGAGAGAATTATGTCAGATGCTCTGGAAGCGCATGAAGGGACAGTCAACATTGGTGGCAGAACAATCACCAACCTACGCTTTGCGGATGACCTAGATTGACTGGCTGGGAACGAAGAAGAGCTAGCCAACCTAGTAAAAGCCTCTGGACAAGACTTCATCGTCCTTTGGCATGCAAATCAGTGCAGAATAGACAAAATTGATGAAGAATAACACCACCTGCATAGCCACTGAAATTAAGGTCGGGGAGGAAAGATTCAGGCAGTTTCAAATACCCAGGAGCAATAGTCTTGGAAGAAGGCTTCAAGCCTGAATTGATGTCCAGGATTTCCCAGACCACAACAACGCTAAAGAGGCTCAAGAAAATATGGAACGACAAAAATTTAGCCCCCATCACCAAAATCAGGCTGATGCGCTCATTAGTCCTCTCCATTTTCTTGTATGCCTGTGAGTCCTGGACATTAACATAAGAACTTGAAAGCAAAATAAAGGCAATGGAGATGAGATTTTTCAGAAACATTCTTGGCAACTGCTATAGAGACCATATCTCCAATGAGCAAGTGAAAGAAAGGATTCATCAGGCAATTGGGCAGCACGATGACCACCTGGTGACAAGGAAACAAGGGCTCATCATGCAGGGCACAACAAGAGGAGGGAGAGGAAGACAAAGAAAATGATGGGAAGATAACATCAAAGAGTGGATGGGACTAAAACTAAGCCATGCTGTGTGAAGTGCAGAAAACAGAGAGGAAAGGAGGGGATAGTTTTCATGTCATCCGTGGACTAAGGGAGATGATGATGATGATGATGAGATCCTGTTAACTATCAATTATTTTTTATGGGCAAAATAACATACATTCAGCAATTTGGTTTCAACAATATTTTTATAGGAAAATGGTTTTTGTTTTACTTTAAAAAATTTTTGCAGCAATAATATGTGATCAAAATCAAATTTAAATGCAGATATAATATAAGCTGAAAAAAAAATGTGGAAAATTAAGTAGATACTGCAATGCAAAATTTAAAAAAAAACAACTGTGCAGACAAAAAAAAATGTAGTTAACTTAAATTTGTATTTATTTCTAGCAGATAATTTGGCACTTGTGGATCTTCAACTCATGTGGAACTCTGCAGAACAAATCATCAGCTAAGTAAAAAGATCTTTTGCATTTGTTAAAAGTAATTTATTTATATTGGAGAGATACCCAATCCTCAGTTGACAGAAATCCATCATATGTTACAGAAAGTGTACAATTTACTAGAGCTTCAAATGTACTTTGGCCCACTGAATTTAGCCAAATGAACTGTGCAGTGGTTTACCGAATGGGCTACACTCCAGAACATTGCTTTCATCATCTACATGACGAATGAGCTACACTCCAGAACATTGCTTTCATCATCTACATGACGAATGAGCTACACTCCAGAACATTGCTTTCATCATCTACATGACGAATGAGCTACACTCCAGAACATTGCTTTCATCATCTACATGACGAATGAGCTACACTCCAGAACATTGATTTCATCATCTACATGAATTGGAAGTACATTATTCAAGTTTATAAGCATGATGCTGGGGGGGGGGGGTAACAATTAACCAATTCATAAACTTGTAGAACGTTTTTTGAATTTCAAATTATCACTGTAGCATCAAAGTGAACTTGATAAAATTATAACAGTAAATTTCACTTGGAGACAAACCTGCCATCTTCATGTGATCGATAGAATGTTAGGAAAGGGTCCGACTTCCCAAAAAAATCTTTCTTGTCAAGTTTTTGAGCACTGAATTGCATGGTTGCATGTTCCTGTTTTTATGATAGAAAAAAAAATGCTGGGAAGGCATATTCATAACATATATCATTTTTAAAAAAATTACTTAATTGTGTTTTTGCCTTATACACATCTGAAAATATCTCAAACAAAGTTTAAGTCTTCTATTTTCAAGGCAAGATGCATCTAAGCATATTGCATCAGCTGAGCTTTATCTGCATTTTTGTTGAGCCATAAGCTTCATGGGCAGTTTTTTATGAACAAACCACAAATTACACACTTAAGATATATTACCTTACAGCTGTTCATCTCTTCTGCACCAACTGAGGAGAAGTTTTATTTCTTTATTGCTTTTATTTTATAAAACAATTTTAAATATTCATAATTTATTTTCACATTAAAAAAATAAAAGGAAAATAAATAAAATAAATTATTCACATGAATAATTTCTTCATCACAGCCTGACATTAAGTGTCTGTAACTGCTATAATGTAGGCCTATATCTCTAAGACCTGTAGTTTATAGTTTACTTCTGAATAACCCGCTACATTCATAAAAATTTTCACCTACTTATAATCTGTCCACTGTCTTTCTTTGGACCACTGTGGGAGGGAGAGAGAGAGCGAGAGGGGGGAGGAGGGGGGAGTTTATTAAATACAAAGAACATTTTTTTTAAAAATAAACACTGAGAAATAGTTTCAGAAGAATAAGATAAGATAAGATTATTTTATTTCATTTACAGATATGGAAATGTTTTTTTTTTATTACAATGTACATAATAATTTTCAGCAGAGATAAATATTCTTACAAAGATACACGTCTTTTAGAACAATTTACAAACAAGACATCAAGAATCTCAACCACGTAAATTTAATTACTTTAAAATATTTTTTTTTTAAACTAACATTAGTTGTTTGGTCAACTTGTTGGATGAGACAACTTCTCCAAGAGTGCACTCGGTTCGTCCCAAAAAATCCTAAAGAAAAACAGCCATTATAAATAATCTTTTTAACATAATGCATCTGTGTAATTATAAAGCCTTCGAATGGTATTCCAAAATAAAGATGCAACATACTATAAATTTAAAATAATTTTATTTACATTACCCATAAGGTAAATAGAAATTAAAAATTGGTCATACGTTCTTTTTCATTGCGTAACTTTTGTCTATTTAAATTTTCTGTTCTTACCAATAAATCGTAACAGTATAACAATAAAAACTGAGGTTGTTTCAAAATGTCTGTTGCCTGGTGTAGCCTTAGACTATTTTTTTTTACTAGACTCCACCAAAATTGCTTATCCAAATATTCCATAATCTTAAGACTCTCAGTTTGCAAGAGTTTAAATAAATTGATACTATGTCAAGAAGATCATACAAAATAATGCTCACGTGCTTAGACAAATCAGAGCTTGATGAATCAACATCATAGCTGTTGAAAGAAGTTGAACTGCTAGCATATAAAATATCACAGCATACAGCTCAACATTAATAAATAAGAATTGACTCCAATGCAATTTATACACTGAAAAATTGGATTGTGAAAAGTGTTTTTTTTTTTGTATACTTTCTTTCTACTTGTATTTCCATCTTGTGGATATGTGGGTGGAGCGTTACTTTTTTGTTTTGTATAATTTCTTTCTACTTGTATTTCCATCTTGTGGATATGTGGGTGGAGTGTTATTTTTTTTTGTTTGTATACAACAGACCTTTTTTCTCATTTGATCATTTTCTTGTAAAGGGGTAAACCTGAAAGGTGTAGATTGCATTGTTGCAATAAGTTGTGTCAACATCGCGTCAACACCTAGGTCGGCGTAGGAGGGTTGAAACTGTAGCTCAAATTATTGTGTTTGACAGCGTCTCCTGCGCTGAGTGAACAGGTAGGTGGTTGAGTTCAGATCTAATTTTTAAAAACTTTCTCTCAACTCGCATTCCCATCTTGTGTGTGGATGAAGCATTATTTTTTTTTTTACACACGTGACATTTTTAGATTTCTTGTGCAGTGTTCACATGGTGGACGGCTGGAAAACTGGGTCGACGGATGTGGGTTGACACTGTCACTCAAATTATTGTTGTTAATTGTGTCTGCTTTACGGTTGAGTGAACGAGTGGATGGGTGAGCTCAATCCACTTTTTAGCTTTATGCCTAGGTTAAGTCACTTTAACCAAGATTTTGCAAGCATTTCATGCTTAAAAAAAGTAAATAATGCTACTTTTGTCGATAATTTAAAGATTACAATTTTAATACTAAAAGGTAGAATTTTTTTTTTTTTATAATTTAATTTTTTAAGAAAGACTTTCTATCAAAGATGAGTTAAAACGCATTAAAAAGTAGAAAATAATTTAAAATTTCGTACACAAAGAAAGTCTGTGCAGAAAATGTTTTAAAAAATTGATAAAAATTAAACTTATTTAAGTTTCGATTCAATTCAATTCGAATCCTTTGACTACATGGAGAGCTAATCTAAACTTCTGCACAGTCTTTCTTTGCATAATGCATTTGAGAATTTTAAATTATTTTCTACTTTTTATTGCTTTTTAACTCATCTTTGATAGAAAGTATTTCTTTAAAAGTTTTCTTTTATATATATTTTTTAAATTTTAAATTTTAACCCAACTTTTGAAATAATGAAAAGAATTTAATTAAAATTAAGTGATATGTCAAATCTTGTATCATTGAATATGGCCGAACCTGAGGCATCTAAGTCCAATTGAACTGTTTTACACATGGTTAGAATTTTATTTGTAAAACATAATTAAAAACAAATAAAAATTCAGATGCTTCACATGTAATTCACCAGATACGATAAATTCATATTAAGCATATTTACTTAAGAGAGTAGATGAATGAGGATTTAAAATTTATTGATCCTATTATCCTCATCACGCAATCTTAACCGAACCCCACCCCCTCTTGATGACATCATATTGGATGACCTTCACCACCAGTGAATACATTATTTCTTCAAAAATATATCCATTAACATGCACATTTTGTATTCCATATTGTAAGTTGCACTTAATGGCTTAATGTCATATCAAACTTACACTTCAAACTTGAGCTTCTGTGACTGTTCAAAGTAGTATTGCATAACAAACTTTTTCACAAAGTCAGGGTTAAGGTTGTTCCATATTATTTCTGTCCTTCCAAACTTAAATAAATAAAAATATAAAGTTTCACGGATAAATGCAAGGAAATCTTTCTTTATTACTTCAACCAAGTCTGTTAAAACTGTAAAATAGAGTAGTTGATGAACCATGTAAATTCTTTGGTCTCAAGCGTTAGTAAGATCAAAGTCAGTCACATTTTTTTAAAATTTAAAGCTAATGAGGGTAACAAAGCATGGGAAAACCTAAAATAAAGGAAGCAACAATACATCATTGTTTTGTTGCTTCCTTTTTTTTCAGGTTTTCTCATACTTTGTTTCACTCATTTCCTTTTTTCTAACCTGAATGCAGTCTCTCCCCCTTATTACCATAATTTAAAGCTGACAAGCTTTGCTATTGCAGCAGGGCATTGATTGTTGATGAGAGAACATACATTTTAAACGTAATTGTTTTGAATAATGAATAATGTCCCCATATAAGAAATTTTAAAAATTTGTTATGGAGGGAAGGGAGTGGTATAGAAAGGTGAAAATAGTTGCATTAACATAGATATTCCAGACAAACTGTAGTAAGCAATTTCATATCTCCAATTTATACTTATAGTAGGTAAGTGGGTAGCTAATTTAGATAATGTGCCATATTTTTGGATGAAAAAAAAAAACATATTTTAAGAAAAGGCACCCTAAAATAATTTCAAATCATGCTTATGTGACTGTATATATATATATCTCCATGAAAATACAACTGGGTACTTCAATTTTAATTCACAGCAAAAATTATTATTATTCATAATTCCAAAAAACATGTTCTTTTAAGAAAAAAACGTTTCACTCAACGCAAAAATTATAGTACATTCTACATTATTTCACATTTCCATTAAAATACTTCACACTTCCAATAAAACAAATGTTCTTTTGCATTTAAACATGTTTACTTCTTTTAAAATCCTCCGCTACTGTGGTGGCCAAATTTGAACAATATCGTCTAGAATGGCGTTTAATACATTCAAACCATTTGCATTAACACGTCGACGCAAAATGAACCCACACATATAAGAATCGAGCATATATCTGTGATTGCCATTTTTTCTGTTTTTTGCCAATTGCCACGTATGTTTGATGCGTTAAGTATTGGCATTCCATTAACTTTGTGGTTGTTAGCACATCGTCTGACAGCATGTTTAATACCATGTCCATGTTGTTGTAGAAACAAGAGACAACTGACTTCATTGTGAACTAATGCAGAAATTGTCAAAGAATTCATGGTGTCTACACAAGCAGTTGTATTTATTAATACAGATATAATAACTGCATAGACATAGAATAGCAGCAATGATAATTTTTGCGGTGAATTAAAATTGAAGTACCTACAAATGACTGCAATGAAAAAATGCACTAGAGTGACAGCCATTTACAAGTAAAATGAGAATAAACAATATAGTAGTGAAGCAGATTCATTGGCTTTTATTTTGCAACACTCATCATTGAAAAAAAAAACATTATTTTATGCTACAATAATCCAGGTGAATTAGTTATAGCCATCAACAACATTACTCAATCATTTCAAATAGTGTCTTATTAGGTCAAATGCACTTATATATCTGAGAGAGTTTTCCATCTTAATTTAATTTTTTTTATTTGTTAAGATGGAACTTATACTGCAAATAATATTACCTCTTTCCATCCTCTACTTGAGAAATCCTGTACAAATAGCACAACCACTGAAACAGTCAACATTGTTATTTCTTCATAAAATACTATTACAAATATTTTTGATTTATTGTTCCAAATAAAGACCACACTTATTAACATAATGTAATTTTAAACTAGTAGTGCAGCCTACAATCGGAATATTGCAAAAAATAATAAAACATAGGGGCCTAGTGTGAATGATATCAAATATATGAGGCATAACTACTTTCATTGGTCCCACTATTTCCCTATTATTAATAATTATTTATTGAGGAAAGAAACCATTTACTAATCTTAAATTTTTACAATAAAAATGATAATTTCAGTGTTTTATTTTAAATTAAATTTTCCTTTATTTTATACACATTCTTCTCTAGGGTTATTTTCCTTGAAAGGGCCCCCCTCCCCTTAAGCTGCCTGAAACAAACCGTGTTGGCTTGGCATATAACTCGAGAGTTCACTATGAATATTAGTAATGCAAAAATTTATAGTTAAAAAATTGTTTGAACATTTTTGACTAGTCAATAAAAAATATTGATAACGAACAATTTACCATTTAAATATTATCATAATAATAATCACAATTTCCAAAGATCAAATTATCAAATGCAGAGATTGTTCAAAATTTTTAAGAATCAACATTTTGCAATTTTTTTAATTGTTTTAATTTCCCATATTAATTTTGCTACCTAGAGAAATTCAAAACCGCGGCCTAGCTCAGATAGATTGGAAGCGACTGATTCTTTTCTCCCCCCACCCTGTGTAGAAGGACGCCCCTGCATGATGTGCCAAAAAACCCATGTCTGATTTTTTTCTTACCTATTTAAGCTTATTTAATCAAGTTTGGATTTTTTAAAGTTTTATGTAATTATTCAACTAATAATACATCTATTCATCAGGGGTTGACAAAATTTTGTAATATCATGTAAAGAAATAATTTTTGAAATACCTCAAAGTCTACTTTATAAATGCAGTTTTAGTCATTTTATTTTTGGTGGTCTTTTGCGTACCATTAAAAATTTATTTGTTTGCCGTGTCTGGCATGCATGCTTTAGGTCGTTGACCGATGCTATACATGATTAAAAATAAAATTAACTTACTTGGATCAGACTTTGAGAACACATCAGAATCAACAAGCTTCCTAAAAACAACAAAGACCAAATAAACCTAATTTATATTTATCATTTGGGGCAAACCATAAATGACCTCATGATAATGATTGATTGATTACTTGTATAGAGCATGTGTCCATGCTATTTTAGCATGCTCAAAGTGCTCTGATGTCATAAAATCTATTTTTTTATGTCTTTAAATGTCTCTTAAATGATTTTTTATAATTTTTAATTCCCTTCAAAGACTGAGGAAAACTGTTCCATAATTTAGGCGCTATAGCTTCAAAAGAGCGCACTCCAAAGACTTCTTTTTGTGTCCATCCCCACTGGAACCTCTCAGTAGGGACTGTGATGACAAGCCCACGATCTTTAAGGATACATGTTAGCATCTAGGGGTGGGGGCATGAATTTTTTTTACAATGCATTAATTCTAAATTTTGTGACAAATTAATTTGTGACCATGTGGGACGGGGATCCAAAATCTGTCAAAATAGTGTGACGTCATTTATGGATAAACCCTTAAATATTTAATGTTTATATATATATCTATATATTAATTGTAATCTGTCATGTATCCAAAATGTAATATTCTTACTTCAAAAATTAATTTTTATTTTATTGCTCTTTGTTACTCACAAAAGCATGTGGTTAACATTGACAAAAGGCTTCTTGTTCATGTTTGGTGCAATATGAATGAGCCTATTTTTTTACTCCCCCAGAACATGTTGAATTATGAAATATGGTGAAAGTATGGTTCTCAGTAAACAGAACAGGAAGATTTAATGCATATCAGTATCAGGGGGAGAAAATATAGTGTGTCAATTTTTATGTGGATGATAATATCTTTAAATCCAATAATAATAAAGTCTTGAAAAAGAGATGCTACATTTTCTTTTAAAAAACAAATACTTTTTCTATGAATTAAGAAAATATTATATTTCAAGGGCTTTGACAAACCATTGGTACATTTACATAAGTATATCCATACCTAACAAAAAAAAACACAAATAACCATCCCATAATACATGTGAAAATGTAATCTTTAAAATAGAGGCATATTTTTTTCCTTTAAAGTTCATTAGCATGAACAAAGATGGGTTAAGAGTCTCTTTCAAAATATGAAATATATTTTAGTTTCCAATTGCGAAAAGTAAAGGTCACGAAAAAGTGGGTGTAAATTTTTTTGAGATTACTAACAGATCATTGAAATTTGTTTAAAACACTTAAGACGTGAAAATGGGTTAAGAGATTTTTCTTTAGAAAAAAGAATTATGTGTTTTTCCATTTTCCGACAATATAGATAAAATTCCGTTAATGTAAAAGAAATTTAAAAAATGGTATATAGATATAACTATATGTTTTGTTGTAAATTTAAGAACATGTTTTTACAATTTTTAAAGAATAAAAATTGTAGTTCGTGGGCGTGCAAGGTTAAATATTTCTCAAAACTAAAAGATATTAGAAACATTAACATTTTCATAGTAATCATAGATTAGATGCTTCTTTTTAAAATAACTTTTTCCTTAAAGTAGTTTAAAATACATTTCAAGGACGTGGAATATTATCATAGTTTTGTTGTTTTTATTTATTATTTATGAGAACACAAACATCAAAACCTGTTTCAGTTATTTACATAAAAATTTGATTATTAGGTGCTGAGACTTCACAATAGCAGGTACAAAGTATCGCAAAATGCCTACCATTTCATTATTATCCAGGTAAAATCGGGTCATATTAGTCAATAATAATTTTAGAAGTTTATAATAAACACTACTAAGTTAACTAAGTGATCAAAAAGGAAAAAGATTACACTTACACTTGTCATGGCTATGTATAAGTATAACTATGCAGATGCAGGACTATCGACCATCTATGGCCTATGGAAACTTGACTAAAAGTTTTCAGTAAAACTTAAATTGAAGTTCACTAATTAGTATGCCGCACTATGCTGCATGCCTATACTAAATGTCTATGTTATTATGTCACCTTTGTCATTTCACTCATGTCTATGACTATGTAAAGTAAAGTTACACTTAAGTGAAGTATGTATAATCGTATAATATAGTATAAAAAGTATTTTATCAGATCAGCATCAAATTAATGCCTTAAAGCCTTAAAGATATTTTTTTTAAATCCGATTGTGATTTATACCTGCAAGAAACTGAGACTTCAACTAATGTAGCAGGTGCAACACCAGTTCCTGGTTGGAAAGCGCCTGTCGCCATTTTGTTTGTTATGGTAAACACGAATTATCTATTCTCAACACTGTAGCATGTATGGAGGTCTGCCAACAACTAAATGATTTATTGTGAATGGAGATAGTATAATAATATCGGTGAATCTTTCTAAAATATCTCCAGATTAGAAAAATGATTTAATAAGAAAAACTCGCACACTAAATTAGCAAAAAGATGTTTGCTCTAAAAAATAATTAAATTAAAAAATATGTTTTCATTAAATAAGTTAAAACCACACTTTTAATTTTATTGAAATGCCCGCCCCTTAGAGTTTCTTCTCGGACACTTTTTTAGCTGTTGACTTAGCCGAAGAGTCAAACTGGTAACAACTACAATGAGTTTTGGGGGGGGGGGGTAGAGAGGGACTCGACTGGTAGGAAAGGATAGGCCGGAAACAAAGAAATTAAAAGATGAAAAGAAAAGGTTGTTGAAATTTGGAAAAATTTTT